ACAAAATCCTAGCACAGGAAACAAGCTGTGCTGTTGATCACCCTGACAGCTGTAAAACAGTGGCACAAGCCTGACTCCTAGAAACTGCTGATGACACAGAGAACATCCTCTTCTTAACTGGGGTGCTTTAAAATGCTTTGAAACAAATGTGACAAATAATTAAAATGAAAAAAGATGACTCGATAAATAACATTTAATGTCTCCATATGTGAAGATTGTCCTAGAAATTCCAGTTTAAGTTAAGCTCTGTGTTTCCTTGCTGCCTTGCAGGTGTAGGGATGAAGTTAACTGATGTTGGCATAGCAACCCTGGCCAAAGGGTGAGTGAATGAGATTTCTTGGAAGCATGGCTGTGCTTTACTCATCTGTCTCTTCACAGTTAGATGTGGATGGGGGAGGGTGCACTGGAAATTCATTCTTGGTTTAACTTTAGAAGAAAAAAGTATTTATCTAAGTCTTTTAACTTCTTCATGTTCATTTTTATGGTAACCTGCCTGTAAAGGAAACACATTAATTTTGTTCTGAAATAATGGAGCTACCCTGTAGATTGAACTTTGTTTTTCCTGCATGCCTCCTTTGAAATGGGCTCATCTAAACGGCCTTTCCCAAGTGACATGAAGGTTTCTGGTGACAGCAGGTAAAGCTCCTGCTGGTCCATCAGCTGGAGGAAGATAGGGCTGAACATACAGGGCCAGCACTGGCTGCAGCCGGGAGTAAAAGGCAAGCTGGAATCCCTCCTGCACCCAGCAAAAGTGCCAGAACTTTGGAATGTGTATTTGTGACACAAGCTTTTATAAAGGTTCTTCTCAGTGGGATGCTGTGTATTGCCACTTCGCTGATAAACAAGGACAATTGTGAAGGGATTTGATGGTATCTCTCCCCTTTCTCTCTCAATAACAGCAATCCTGAGCCTTAACAAAAGATTATTCAGGGCATTTCTAGAGCCTGTTTTCTAGTGGTGTTGCAAAGGCTTCAGCTCTTTTGGGGAGATTTAAGCATATGTGTAAAGATGTAGGCCTGTAATATTCTAACTTTAGTCCATTTCTCTTAAGTTAATTAAGGCTTCTAGTTATACCACAGGCCAGCAGAGCTGTGGATAGGGTTAGGCAGTGGCTGCTGGACAGGGAAAGGGGATGGGAGTGAGTGCTTTAGCTTCATACTCTCCTTTGAGAATCTGGTAGGAGAAAGATCTGATCATGTATTCAGCCTTTATTCTAAATTGGACCTTGTCTGTATACCTGGGATACAAGAAGAAACCTCACAATATCATCAAAATTATTAAAAATGTCACTCTGGAATATTCTGGGAGAATCCTGAACATTTGCAGGCTGGCATCCATTCAGTTAGACTGATTTACTCTTGTAGCTGTGGATCCAAACTAAAAGCAGTTGAAATGAATGTACATCATCCTGTTACAAACCAAAAAAGTAATAAATGTTTTATTTTGGCAACACTGTTCTCAGGAATCAGAAGATTTATAAAAATGCTTTAGTGAATGTTGTCCAGTTCACTGTGAAATGATTCCTATAAAAACACACATTGTGTTGGGGAGGAGGAAGTGAGCACACAATGAGAGCTGTAGTAAGGATCACCTCGGGCATGTAAAAAGGAAAATAATTTCCCTAAATGAAAAACCTTCTAAAAATGTTGAGTATCATTTTGTTTGTTATTTAGCTAATGGTATTCCTGCAAGATGACAGATTTTTCCTGGTCCTGTATTTTGTTTTCATGCTCCTTTCCTGGAAAGATGATCTCTAGATTAATGTCTGCAGTTGGATTTTTAATTCTGTGAACAGGGGTGGAGAAAATCAAGTACCTGGAGCTCATGTGTGTTGCTGGGTCTTGCTGCTTTGGGCTGTGTTCAGATGAGCTGCTGAGAGCTAGCCTGGTCTCATGGAGAACACATGGTCCTACTGAGCCAGAAATGCAGAGTGGGACTGGTATGGCTTGAACTGTGCCGGCAGAGAGGACACAGAACGTGTCTCTTGTAGTCCAAAACATGGTCTGCAATGAGTGGAGGAAGGAATTTTCATCTTTGGTCCTTGCTCTGTGTGTTTTGCCAGGGAACTGGAAAGCAGAGGAGCCCAAAGCAGTGGTGTGGTCAGTGTGCTGCTGGAGCTGCAGTGCGGATCTGTCAGGAGAGGGCAGAGTGCACCAAGGAACAGGAAAGCCTGGGAAGCATTTTTATGTGGCCCCAGTGCTGCACCTGAGCCTTAACAACAGCTACTCTAGCTTCTCTGGCGAATGGAAATAAAAATACCACAGCACAGTGCGTGGCTCTGTGCAAGCAGTGAGCAGAGTAGAACTGTGCATGAGGGCCCAGGGATTTATCCAGGAATGGTGCACACAAATGAGGGAATCAGGAGCACGGTAGCCCACAGTTATGGGCATTAACAGGAGTGCTGGTTGCCAAGTCTGGATCTGAAACTCTGCCTGGTTTCAGGGCACTGACAAGTTTAGGTTTACTCCACATAGTAACAAGAGGCACTGGAGAGTTTAAGCCTGAGGGCAAAGCCAACATTTGCCCTTCAGATTTAAGGAAGATTTGGTTTGGTTTGGTGCTGGATAGAAGATTCCCTTGCTGAGGGCAGATGTGTTTGCCTGTGGAACTCCTGCTCTGTGGGTGTGTCTGGTGCATCCACCAACACAGCACATACCTGTGAGCTCTTGGGAGCAGTAAAGTTTGAAGCAGAAAGCAGAAAGTAAAGGCTGAAGTCTCTGATTTCTCCAAGGGAGCAAGAGAACCATTGATGATCCTGCTGGACTCCAGGATATAGTCTTGGAGTAACAATGGCACGCCTCTTCAATCTGCTTTGGTTAAACAAATCCACAGTTTACTTGGAGAGGAGAGGAAAATCCCTTTGAGGTTCACCTGCTGTTCAGAGCCAGCTGAGTGGGGTCTCCAGAGCAGAGCCTGTCTGTCAGCAGGAGTCTGACCTTCTCAGAGCAGCAGTATTCTCTTTAGCACTGTGCAGTCTGTCTGAGGAAGGAAGTTCTCTGGATGCTGGGAATGAGCATCCTCTGTTTATTTCAGTACCAAATCTTGTTTGGTTGGTTTTGTGTAGTCACAACTTACAGCTCACGTCTGAGGATACTGGATGTCTGGCAAACCAAGAGAACAGGGTAGAACAGGCACGGATTAAGGTTAAAAAAGAGAGGAGCACCCTGACCTTTTTTCTCCCATCTCTATCCTGAGAATTTAACCAAAATTACACCTTTGAGGAGAAGGTGCACCTTTTAAAATAAGCTGATGCAGCTTAAAAAGCAGGCCCTGGGAGGACTGAGCAACCGGAGGCACGGTGAGGAGAAGGATACACGTGCCCTGTACCTCTCATGTGGGAGGTACAGTGGCAGCTTGGGAACTGTGGAGGCTGGATGAGACTGTCTTCCTCAGGAACATTCCTTTCATCCTTCCCTGGGAGGCTTGGCTCCTTGAGATCCTGTAGGCAGCCAGGGGAGGGGAGTAGCATAGCATGGTAATGATATACATGTTTACATTGAAACAGCTTCTAGTTCTGAAACACCTTGTGCAACAACCTTGTCTCTTCATAGTGGCCAACAGAACTGTTCATGGAGAATGATATAGCATGGATTTCATTTGTGTGTTACTGAAAAAGGTAGCCAGGGGATAATTTTATTCCCAATTTAATGCTATGAAAGACAGTGCCAGGACCCAGCCCACAGAGCTTTGCCTCTAATGCTTTTCCCTTTTCTGTCACCACATGTTACCTGGTTCCCCTCACCTCCCAGTGACCCAGTCTGAGTTTCTGTGGCAGTCAATGCTTCTCAAGCCAGCATGGGTAGAAGAGACTTGCTTAATGTTTTCAAGTTGCTTATGAGTCAACAGTCATACTCTGCCTCACTGTGCTGAAAATGAATCTTGAATTCCCATCTGGGTTTTTTTTTCCTTTGTTACTACAGATACAAGGGGTTTAAAGGCAACTGCTCCTTTTCCTTCATTGAGCAGTTCAGAGCCCTTCACCAGTGCAATGAGTACTGTGAGATGTTGGGGCTGAAATCTCTCCGAACCACTCATCAAAAACAGAGGAAAACAACGTCCAATAAAAGCAAAAATCTGCCAAACTCATCAGCGGTAAAGAAAATGGTGCCCAAGAAGGCAAGAGAACCTAGAGACTTCATTTCTTCAGAGCACTGAGTCTCACTACCCCACCTTGTGAAACTACTCTTGAGGACATGGAGCAGTGACACACACCTCAGTGACCGGAGGGGATAACTTTAATCTTTTGCCTTTTGACATTGTTTTGGAATCATTCTGATGCTGATGCTAGCAACAAAGGAAGGAGCTGATCCTGTGCTCTTGGTGCCTGAGATTTAACACTGGAACAAGGTTTTGAAAACAAACTAAGCCATCTCCTGGATTTTCTTACAGGCTTCTGTGGATTGGTAATGGAGAAGAGCATCTTCTCTTGTGTCTACATTCATGGCCCTGTGGTTCAGCTGCTATGGAAACATCAGTATATTTAAGAGGCCAAGTACAAGTTTTGCACAGTATTGCATTTGCATATGCATGCTGGGTTATTTAGAACTAGAAGTCAGGAAAAGTGAATTTTGGAACACATAAATATTAAAGTTACCACTTCCACTGCAAATTAGAGCATAAATCCTTTGAGCCTAAGTCTTGGACTATTCAGTGGGATTTAGGCTCCTCAGTGCTCTCCTGGTACCTGGCTTTGATTAGGCCTTTGGAAGTTCCTTCAGATGATGCCTATGCTTTACAATGGTATTCAGAAAAAATTTTGTGAAGACATTTTGACTGTTCCCTAAACAGAAGGTTTAGAAGATAAGGCAAGGGGCTTGACATGGCAGGATGGGAGCAAAGCTAAAAGCATTGGAAAAATGGTGTTTCAAGTTAGAGGCAATAGATTTTTATCAGAATTTTGGGAAGTGTTCTGTTTGAAAAATGTCATGAGCACCTCAGCCAATTAATATTCCAAATGCATGTTGTAGTTTGGTCCCACAGTCAGAAATGGAATTTCATTCTGTTGGCTAATTGCCTTCAGTTTTATTGTCCTGGTCAGTTCCATGAAAATCACAAGCTGACATCTCAGAGGTAAATATAGCCCTGTTAATGCCAAGGAAATCCACTTTCCTAATGATGACAGTATAGTGATGATTCCTTAACAAGTCTGGTGTGCTTTACAATGCGGTCTGGAAGTGCATGTGTCAAAGTATGGATTTCTCACATATTCTGGTGCTTTTGCCTCTAAAAGAAGGAGCAGAGTCATCCTGCTGTGCACGTACCACGGCTGTTTATTCCTCAGTACTGTGGGAAGATGTATTGCCAGAGATCCCAAACCTTTCTGACCTGCTGCCTTGTCTGCCAGGAACTATTTAGTGTGATAATGGCGTTTGATAGACTGCACACAAACACCATTGTCACACTCCACAGCTCTGGGAGTAGGTCCTTAGCCCATGGAAGGAGTGATCACTGCAGACTTCAGCAGAGGGGGTTTCAAAGACCTGCAAAACAGACACAAGACCAGGTTTGTGCATATTTATATGTGGCACATCGGGGTTCTCACAAGGAGGCAGGACACAGGATCTTGAATTGCTTTAAGGTGAACATTGTGTCTCAGGGAGCTGTGGGAATGTAAAAGTTGAGTGGCTTCGAGTTCCCTTACAGACAAGGGAGATGGACAGCACCTGAGAAAGTAATCTGTACCATTCTAGAGAGAAATTCCTGAGGAGAGGGATGAGTAATTTCTGCAATGACCCGTGTCTTCCTCCAATTGGTGGAGACAGCCCAGAATCAGCACCAGACTCTTGTAGCTATGTCAGACCTGAGGAATCACAATGCTGGGGATTATATTTGATTTTCACATACTTGTTTTTAGCAGCATTCTTGACTAACCCACATACAAGACAGACAAGTTGGTCTGTACTTCTGGTCCCACTGCTCCATGCGTGTTCTTCTGGGACACATCAGCACCTGTGCATCAGGAAATTAAGCTCTAGGATCCATAGCTGTGGTGCTCATTTCTGCACAGGCTGGGTGTTTCAGAGTGTTTATCTGTGTGGTTTGATCCTGCTAGCCAAATAACATTTCTGCATACTCTCAGCAGAAAACATCCCATAAAAGATTATGTGGGCTAAAGACTGGATTAAGAGCACACAAACATGCTGCACAGGGATTTGTAACCTGTGGAAATTCAGTTATATGCCATCATCACATCTGAATGCTGCAGAGAAGCAGAGAAAACAGAGAAGGAGGAGCACATGGAAGAGAGGAGGTTAGAAACCAGGGCTGGGGTGAAAAGAAGTAGCCTTTATTTTTTGTTAGTACTGAAAAGTGAACTCTCTGGCTCAAAAGAGAATCCTCTGTGGACTGATTAGAAGCCCCTTGGGAGGGGATGCAGTTGTCTTTTTGTGCAAGAGGTGAGAATGGGATGTCTTGCTGTAGTGCTTTTTAACTCCCCTCTCATTTATTACTGGGGAGAATTTGCTCCCCATAAGTAGCAAACCCAGACTCTCCAGCAGTCTTCTGGATCTGGTTCTGCTTTAGGAACAGAATGTTAAGGAAGTTAAAGCCCTCAAAAGGCTCATCCTCTGAGAAATCCTCCCTGGGTTTAGCCTTCTCATCAATCCTTTTTGTGCAGGGAGCACAGCACTCACAAATCAGCCCACTCAATTCTACAGCATCAAATGTCAAAGTACCTGCACAGAGGTGATACCAAGGCACCCAGATGAGCTGCTGCCCACCTGTACTGACACACGTGAACCACCAGCCTGCTCTTCACAGTGTAACAGGGGTCTCCTCCCCCTGTCATCTAACTTTATATCTTATCTGGATCTTCCTCCCAATTGTAATATAGTTCAACCATATAGGTCAGGGCAGACTTAATAGGGCTCTGGATTGGTATAATTCTTGATTTACATCGAATCAAACCTCAGGGAAGGGTTTGTGATAACTCAGTGCCACGAGCTGGCACTAGAAGCTGGGGTCTGAGTGCCTTTTGCTGGTGGACAGAACAGCAGAGCAAAATGGACCTTCAGTCTGGTTACCAGATTAGGCTGTTTCATTTCTCCAAAATTATTATTTCAACAGTAATAATCTGGCATTCCCACCCCTGCCACGAAAGGAAGCCTAGAAATGCTTGGGCATGGCTGACATCCAATGGATTTTCATGTCCCACTGGCTCTGTCTGAGTCTGTAGTGCTGCAGTGGGACAGAGCTGAGCATTTGAACACACACACAAAACGGGCAGACGTGCAGATCCACAGGTCAGGCTCCTGTGCAATCCCAGCTATGAAGGAGGCATCTCTGAAAGAAGAAGAGCTGGAGCACACTCTGAGCATCACAGGGTCATGCCAGAACATTCTGTCAGTAAGGATGCAGCTGCAGCCCTGAGGTCCATGGGGCCGGTTTTGGTTAATGCCAATGCATTTATAATTGCAATGGTAAGTGCCTATGCTGCAGCTGGTGAGAGTGAGAAATGAATGCCAAAGGCTCAGAGGTACTATACCTGGCTTTCTAATTCATCATGTTGGTGTCTTCCCTTGTCTTTCCTCATACACATTTTACTCAGCTTTCTCTCTGCAGCACAGGGGAAGGATCAGGCAAGATCCTACTAATGAAACTCCCTGAGGAAAAGCCTGGCAATCTTGTGCAGAGTAGGAAAGCCCAGAAATCCTGGCAAAAGGACTCCACTGCAGAACATGTAAGGAGAAAGCTGATGCCACTGAAAATAGGCAATTATAGTCCCTCAGCTAGGTGGAAGCTTCCAGCAAATCAACAGGAATATTTCCAAGACAAAATATAATGAAAGAAAGAGAAATGGCCACTAGTTTTTAGTACTGCAAGGGAAAAAAAAAAACCTCAACAAATAATGGGGAAGTTACAGGGAGAAAACAAATCATAATCATCAGAGAAAAATCCCCTTTTTGATTCTCTTCTGCTGGACATCTGTGTAAAGAACATTATTGGGATGTTCTAATGCAGATAAACATTGTAAGAAACAAGAGGGTTTTCAAGAGGGTTTTTTGAGATAGGTCACAGAACCTGTCCTTCCCATATAGCCAGACCTGGAAGCATTCCTGGTCCCCTGGGAAATCCGTCAGCTTCCCTACCAACTAATTTTTAAAAAACAATAAACATTCAGGGTGGTTTGCACTGCCCTAACAAACGCTTCCAAGTGCAGGTAGAGATCCCGAGGTCCAAGACATTAAATCCTGTAAAATTTCACAGTTGAGCCCTGGGCGCATGCGGATATTTTGGTAGGCTGAAGTGCTTAGTGTTGGAAATCCACCTGCACTATTTTATTTTTGTTAATATCTTTAGCATTTCCTTTTCCTCACATGAATTTTGCACAGGAAGGCACTTACCAGCGGACACAACAGCCAAAGGATCCTCTGGTGTGTTGGTAGGGCTTGGCAGAACCAGGATTCTCTTGCAGGACATTTTGCTGACTCTGTACTCGAACCTTTGGAGTCCTGGTTTCTTTTCTGAGTTCCCAGCAGTGGGCAGCTGCTGCAAGCCTCTGCTTCCAGTGGACACCTTTCCCTCTCCCTTTATGGGATCCTGAGGTTTTAAAGTAAACAATTCATTCTTGTTCTGATAAGTCATATTAAAATATTGATCTGGGGGAGGGAGATGACCCTCGCTGCACTGAGCCGGAGTCACCTTTAGTCAGACTAAAGAACGGGAAAAAGCTCTGAGACCTCAATTTTCTCTGTTCCTTCAGAGACCACATGTAGGGAGGGAAAAATGCAAAAGATAAGGGGGTTTCAGCTCTTTGTTTTGCTGAACCCTGAGATGAAGAGTGTTTACTCTGGCTGTATATTAATTGCTTAGTTTTGCCAGTGAGACTGATTTCATCAGTTCCTCAGGTCACAGTGCTCATCTCATGTTCACTGCTGGGGCTTGCCAATCTTTTTTCTTTCTTAAATTTTGATGTACTGTCTGCTTTGCTTGGGAATTTTCAGATTTACTTTCCAGCACACCTAGGAGGTAGGGGGAAAGCCCGGCTTCTGTTGAGGCTGTCTGAACTGCACTGGTAAACCCAGGAATGGAACACATCTCCCAGAACCTCATCCAACAATGAGGCAATTGCATAAACCTCCACAATTATGATGAATTTCACTACTCTTTTTTTTTTTTGGGTATGAGAACATTTGCTAGTTAACTAACAGGTGTTTCCTCACTTACTTCCATTACCATACTTCTGTTCCATTAGAACATTTTGGAACAGTCTGAAGAAATAGTTTGGAGGGTTAGGAAGCAAAGCTTTCTATAGAAATACTTCACAAAAGTGAGGAACCAGGTCACTTTACTGATTTTGGCTGGATGTGTCCATCCAACAGCAGAAAACCATCATCAAATCAAATCTGGAAAGCATTCTGTGCCTTGCCCTCTCCTCCTTAGACCCTCTTTGTTACCAGCTGATGACAGATCTTTTTTGCTTAACACTGTCTTGGGCTGCAAATCTGTCATGGCAAGAACAATCTACTGTTTCCTAAAATGCTGATTTCTATTCCCAGTTCTGTTGTGTAAATAGTAATTCCTTGTTTGGGACTGGTGCATGCACACAGTGTGAATATGACAAAATTACTACTACTACTACTAGTTCAGAGTCTGCCCCTGGAGTAGAACAAGTTTTGGGGAAAGTAGGTATCTAAAAATGTGCTGTGCAATTATATCAGCATCTTGTGTGCAAACTCCTCATGCTACTCTACATTTGAAGTCTACAGAAGGTATCTGACAATATGCTTAATCAGAAAAAAAGACAAAAGACCATATTAAAAAGAAAACTCCTATTAAAAAGAAAACAACCAACCCAAAATCAAAATGCCGCTTGTTGTACAAAACTAGCAGAGAAAAACTAAAATGTGCTACTTTTAAATCACAGCAGAAACACCACTTGGTATTTTTGGGTTGTGTTTCTGGGGGGATGGGGTGTGTGGAAAGCAGTTTCCCTCAAAATGGGGCTCTGCAACTGTAGGTGAAACACTGGTCACTCCCCAGGGAGCCTGGGGAAAGTCTGGAACTGCATTGCAACATGCAGTACTGCTGCAGACTGGTTGGGGTCCAGTTCTCTGAAATGAAATACCAAAGTATTGGGAAATTCCTGGAAAAAGAAAAGGAACTGGTTTGTTTAAATGTTACTGAAGGTGACACAGGGACAGATAATGCAACATATGTTGCACATACACCTGAGGGCCAGATTCTTCCCTTGGAAATACGTAGCTATAACCCCAAGCAAAATCATCTTACTTTGAAGTGCAGTCTAATTGTGAGGCTGGCACTGCTTGGAGCAGAGGACTGAGTCCTGTGATCTCCAGAAGTCCCTTCCAGCCTAAATTATTCTGTGCTTCCATTTTATATGCAGAGCTTCTGGTAAGTAAGGTGTCACTATACAAAGCACATGATTTGATCCCTACAAAAGCTCTTTCGTTTCATTTTTCTTATATACAATGTGGAGGATATGTTGAGGGAAATGGAAATCACAGGGATGGTGTCTTTTCTGTGCAGCAACAGTGGAAGAACAGCTTCAAAACTGAAGGAATAAGTGCAGGGAAAAGGCTGAGCTGTATCTTTGTGGCTTTACTCCAGCACATAATCAATACTCTTCAATTGATTTGGGGCTGGCTATTTCATCCATGGAAAAAATCCTGTCATGGGCCCACCAGCTGTGGGCATGGCTCCCTTGGCTAAAACTTCCAGACAAATCTGGGTCAAAGATTTAGGCCAGAATCTTTTATGGAGAAAAATGACACATACCCAACAGTGGAACTTAATTTATCCCTTTTCTTTCTTAATGTCAATGACTATGCTGACGCACATCACTTTTGGATATGGCCATATAATTTGAAGAGGACATTGCTACAGGAATTTTTGCGCTCAGAGTACAAAGGTGTTGTTTATCAGCTTATCCCAGAGTACTGCAGCATTCAAGGGGCACATTTACCACGATCTCATGGACAGAGGTAAGGGCTACGAGTGCTGGGACAGTTCAGACCCCAGAGGAGGAACGCTGTGATCCTTGTCAGTCAATGGCCACTGGTTAAAGATTACCTGTGACGGTCACTCCGATGGCTGGGTAGAGAAAGATTAACTCAGAACAGCAGAAAGTTGAGCAAAGGTCTTTAACCTGGAAGCCGTGATCTCTTCTGATTTCTGCTGGGGATCAGTAAATGAAATTGATTTGAGTTTCCCAATCATCAAACTCATTACATCAGTTCTGGATCATCCTGGCATTTCCTGTAACAATTCACCCTCTGACAAAGAGAATCCAGGTTGGGAATTATCTTCAGATTAGGAGAGTAAGGTTTGGCTGACAGTGTACCCTCCATGGCATTGCTGTTTCCCCAGCAAAATAGTTGTGGGAAGAATTTAAGCCATTTTGCTCTAAGCAGGAGGCTAACACAAAAAACTTGTGTTTACTGGTCCCTCAGGGCAACTACCCTTCCCCTAGGAGACCTGCTGACTCTGCAGACAGTGCTCTGGGCACACCAGGGTGCAAGGGATGCCCTAGGGTAGGTTAGTGTCCCCTGAGCTGCATGTGAGGATAAGCAACTTTATTAATTTTTGGTCTCTGTAAGTCAAAATCCTGTTTAAATCCACTTCTCAGAACTTGAAGAGACTTTGGTGACCTGAACTCTGTCAGTCCCTAGTGTGTGCCCGGGACTGAGGGTGGCTCTGCTGAGGGGTCCTGTGCCCTGCCCTGTCCCTCCATGGGCCCAGCCCCAGCACCAAGTCCTGGGGGAGGTCTGAGGCAGAGTTTGGGGCAGGGTGGACAGGACACTTGGTGCCCTTGGCTTCTGCAGCCAGCTGTAATTAACTGTTAGTTGTTTTAATCGCAGCGCTGCAAGGAGCAGTCCCAGTGGGGCTCCCACGTCTCCGGACATGCCTGTCAGCATTTCACACAGGTGGTACTTTTGCTCTTTTGAGAAAAGCAAAAAATCAGTTTGGCCCCTTGAAAAATTGCAAAGACAAAGGTTTTATAGTGGCTTTATAACTCCATGCTGATGTTCTACCTTCCCTGGCCCAGTGGTGACTGGAGGAGCTCCTACAGCTAGCCTGGCCACCAGAAGGGCTTACATGAAGTCAAGATGCCAAAGTAGCCAAGGTAAGTCCAGTTAAACTCAGCTTGGCACGGGCTGGACTTGGCTTTCCCTTTTTATATTCACTGGCTGCCAATCCCCCAGCTACACAGAAAAAGAGTGCAGCTGTGATGGCAATGTTCTGGAGACAGTGGTGACAAAGTAATGAAGAATGAGCCATCATGTATTTTGTGTGACATTGCAGGCACTTTCCTTGCTAAATGGAAACTTCACACAGATTCCATATTTAGTCTAATCTGTTTTACCAACTCATTTACCACCCTACGTAGCATGAAATTGCACTTCCCGTGGCTATTTAAGTCCTGTATGCCATGGCTCTGCTGAACTGATGCATTTTTTACAAAATCCTGATTTTCCAGACCTCAGAGAAAAAGAAGCTGCTGTTTTTTAGCAAAAATTGGTTTGGTAATTGAAACCAACAGGTTTGAGGGGCAGGCTGTGGCTGCTCAGGTGCAGCTGGTCTGTAATTACTTAGGTTGATGCAGGTGCTGAGCATCAGGCATCATTAGGTGTTCAAAGATAGTTTGAGCGAAAAGAAGGACTAAAGTGGGGAAGAAAGTGAGGCAACAGCTTTTGTGAGAGTTGAAGTGCTTTCTTTTCACAAGGAAAGTATTTGTAGCGTTGGTAACTGCAGAACGCTCCAGAAACTATTTGCTTCCAGTGAGCAGAGGCTGATTGCCTGGGATAACTGGGAAGTTTCCATGTCAAAACTAGTGAATCCCAGAAGGGTTTGTGTGGGAAGGGACCTTAAATATGATCTCATCCCACCCTCATGGGCAGAGATGCCTTCCACTGTCCCAGGTTGCTCCAAGCCCTGTCCAGCCTGCCCTGGGACACTCCCAGGGATCCAGGGACTGCCGCAGCTTCTCTGGGCACCCTGTGCCAGGGCCTCCCCACCCTCACAGCTGAGAATTTCTTCCTGATATCCCATCTAACCCTGCCCTCTGGAAGTGCGAAGCCATTCCCTGTGTCCTGTGAGCCCAGGCCCTTGTCCCTCCCCATCTGTCCTGTGAGCACCTTAGGTGCTGCAAGGCTGCTGTGCTGCCAGGAAGCTGCACACAGAAACAGCAGGGAGGTGAAAATACGGATCTTGAGCTCAAAATAAAGTGAGCATTGGCAATTTCTGACCTAGTACTGGGAATTAACAACATTATGTATCAAAAGAATAGAAACAAGAATTATTAATCTCCTCAACGGGCTGTAGAAACACAGGGCCGTGGGAATTACACAGGTGATCAGGCTGATTAAGATCAGGTGTGAGGGTGACTCAGCAACCTTATACCAGTTTTCTTAGTCTAAAGTGATTATCAGTGTGGTGAGGGCTTCAGAAGTGGTTCTGCCAAGTTGGAGAAGCTTGCCCATTGCACTGGATATTATGTTTACTGTATAACAACAGCTCTGGATGTTCCTGGAACTGCTCTTCTAGACTCACTCAGAAGACTTCTAGACTGACTCAGAGAAATTTAAAACTGAAAAGTAAGTGGACTTCTAGTTTATGGTTGGATCGGGATGGCTCTGAGGTTCCTGTACTTGGCAATTAAAATAGGTGGTGCTGTGCCTTGGCACGTATTAGATTTGGTGAACCTTATAGAATGATTATCTGTGGGAAATGTGCTGGATCAGAGTGTAATCACCATAAAACTTTTTGCCTGCCAGCATCTTCATGCTCTCTGAGGATAGCTTAGAAACAGAAAAACAGAAATTAAAAAGGATGTTGTTAGTGAATCGGAGGTGGCCTCGTGTTTCAGCACGTGGATAATCAAGCGCGATGGTGTCTGGATCCTGGACACTTCTGCCTGTTTTGTGTTCCAGGGCTTTTTCAAGATCAGCTCTTGGAAATCAGTGGGTTTGTACTGTGCTCACTGAGCACTGTGGCACAGAGTTCCCAAAAGTATTCAGCTGCAGTGTAATCCCAAATTCTGTGTAACGGACTAGGTTAAGGTATTCGCGTGCCCGCACTTTAGAACCCCCACACGATGCGTTTATCAGCGTCTGCAGCTTCAGTGCATGGGAAACGGGAGCAGTGTGAACACTGGAGTCCCAGTACATGGGACAAGAGGTGGCCTTCTCCCTGTTTTGGGAGTCCTGGGCTGGAGCTCTGTCGCTGCGGTTGAAGGGTGACTACGGAGCGCCAGCTGTCCCCAGGCACCCGCGCAGGGTGCGCTGTGAAGCCGTGTGAGGGCTGGGAGCCGTGCGGAGCCGTGCTGTGTCTGCAGGCGGCCTCAGGGGCTGGGGCACAGCGGTGTGAGGGCTGGGAGCCGTGCGGGGCCGTGCTGTGTCTGCAGGCGGCCTCAGGGGCTGAGGCACAGCGGTGTGAGGGCTGGGGCCGTGCTGTGTCTGCAGGCGGCCTCAGGAGCTGAGGCACAGCGGTGTGAGGGCAGGGGCCGTGCGGAGCCTTGTGCTGCCCCCGGGACTGCGCCACCCGCCTGGGTAACGGGGCCAGGGTGACCTTGCAGGCTGCCGGCTCTGTCCTCGGGGCAGCGAGTGCTCCTGCGCTAAAGGGCTGGCCACAAAGCCTCGGGGCATGCTGAGAATAAAGAACGGCCTCTCTTCTCCCTCGCTGTGAAAACAGACACAGTCACTAACCTGGTGTTCCGTGTCCGCCTTTGTCCCGCACACCGTGGAGATGTCACTGGGCAAACCGGGCTGGCCGGGGCAGAGCTGGGCTTAAAAGGACACAGGTTCTTGCTGGGTGGGGAGGGGAGGAGTGCCCAGCTCTGTAAGGAAACATCTGGCTGTCCTTAACCGCTAGGAACTGCATGCACGACCTGCCTGTGTAATCACGTACCAGTTCAGCTCACCAGAGCTTGAAATCTATTGCCATAACCTCACAAGGTTTGGCCTCAGTTACACAATGTTGTCCTCAGAACACAGTTAAAGAAAAATTATCTTGAGAATTCCTTTTTTGTGTTTCATTTCTTACAGTTTCACAGTGTTAGTAGTTATTAGTGTTTGAGAGAGGAACTAGTTTGCTGGTTAAATTACTTTTCTTCTTTATTTTTTTAATTTTTTTAATGCATTTTTAATGGAGAAATGAGATCCAACAATGAAAAGTAACCTTTCTAAAAAGAAACGCAAATGAAGTGAGAAGGGAGGAAAATTCTGTTTGATTTTCAGGAAATGCTGACTTTAAATATCTATGTATTGATATTCATATCTGGTGAAACTGCTGAGGTGTGTCAGTAATTTTTTTTGGACAAAAGGTACCTGCTCTACCAATCTTTATCAGTCTCACCAGGGGTTATATGTCACACCACTGTAGACCTTTTAATGCTCTCTGTGACCCCTTTTGCTGACTCATTGGTATGAGCTTTCTGTGTTTGGGAGTGTTTTTATTTTAAAAGCTAAAATTTTCTGCTGCCTCTAAAACAAAACACTTTCCAGCCTCTTGGAATTTTTCTGTTGTATCGGAGAACAATCCAACTCATGCAATTCTTGTTTTAGTGATCTCGGTTAATTAATTTTTATTTTTATTAAATGGAAGGTAGACTGCCCATTTAAAGATCAAAAAACAATTACTTTATTTCATGTCTGAGTGAAGACTCTTTAACTGTGCGATTTGCAGTCATTTCAATATTATTTGCTTCCAAGGCAAATATTCAGGGATTCAGAGATTATTCTCTCTACTTACCAAGAAAAAAACCCAACTTTTAATTAATATTTGCAGGATTAATTCTGTATGAACTGAAATTTAGAACTCACCTGCTGTTCCTAGAATACTCCTGAAAACTTGGTTTTCTTCCTCAGAAGTTTATTAGGACTGGAAAAAAACAAAACACCGCATATACAAATCTGAACCTTTATCCCAAGTGGAAAGCGAGTTATTTCCTCCAGAATTCACCAGATATCAGCTGATGCTTTTCCAGCTTATGTGAGTGCTTTCTCCCAGTGCCCAGGCTGTGGAGCTGTCTTTGGCACGGGACGGGGCAGCCCCGGTTCCTGGCAGAGCCCCGCACGTGGCTGCGGGGCTGGATGGGCCCTTCCCACAGTTGGGCTCTGGGGATGATCCCGGGACACTGCCCTGGCTCTGGCTGTGCCCTGGGTGGTGTTCCCAGCACTGGCACCGGGCAAGGCACTGCCCTGGCATGGAGCGCCCGTGGCGGTGCAGGGCCTGCCGCAGGAGGGTCCCGCAGCTCTTGGATCCTGGATGGAGATCTGTGGGGCCTGGCTGGCAGGGGCTGTGGCTCTGGGGTCTGACTACGGGCCAAGCTGGGCTATGCTCGCTCCAGGGTGGCAGGGACATGGATGTGTGGGTGTGGTGACACATGCCTGCTGGTGGCACAGCTCGTTCCCAGTGTGCATGGTGAACTAAGGTGCCATCTGCCTATGGTTGGAGCTATTTCACATATGTGAGCTGGAGCATGTTAAACATTAATTATTCCTTGCAAGCCCCTGTGGGCGTGGGCCAGGGCTTTGTTTTACCCAGGTCAATGAACAACGCTCTGGGGCCATGTTTGAAACTAAGTGGTCGTGTGGCAAGATTCCATGTGTTTCACAATTTTTAAATGCTAGTAGAACATTCCTGAATGCTAGTGGAATGTCAAGTCCAGTTTTAATTTAGGATCAGTGAGTAACTTAACTAGACATGAGTACCATATTGCTGTGACAAGCAGTCTGGGAAATTCCTGATGTTTGTTGAGAATAATTTCTCATCACAAATGCTCAGCAAGCCAACTAGGAAAGGTGCTCTGCCACAGGGGTTTGTGAATAGAGGACTCATGGCAGGAGCGATGGTCCTGGTCACAGTGACCATGAGATGGTCTGATTTAAATGTTTTGGTGTAGTTACAAAAAGCAGAGTTGTCACCCTGGCTTTCAAGAGTGCAAATTATAAGCTGCCAGGGAGCAGTTGGCCATGTTCCCTGAGGAGCTGCCTCAGGGGGCCCCGAGTGCTGGTCAAGTTTGAATAAAATGTGTGCAGGGGAGCAAGGCCATTCAGCCAGAAGCCAGGCAGGTGGGGTAGGTTGCCAGCTTGGCTGAACAGGGCACACTGCACGTGGCTCTCTGGAAGCCAGGCCAGGTGTCAGAGAAAGAGGAGAGCTGTGGTTTGCCAGTAGCGTGCTTGGGTCTCAATCCAGGGGCTCATACTTTCAATGCTGTTGTCCAGGATCTGGGTGCAGGAGTGGAACGCACCAGGAGGGAGTTTGCTGAAGATGCTGAAGTGGGAGGTGCCGTGGGCTCAAGGGATGAGAGGCCTTGCAGAGGGATCTGGATAGGTGGAACACTGGGCAATCATTGGCAGGAAATCTAACAGAAAAGCAGCACTGCTGGCAGGAGAATTCCTGTGGTTTCCACAGAGCCTGGATTTCACCCAGCATGTACTAGTGTGGCACTTACTGTGTGAATTAAAGGATTTTGCTGAAAAGCATAAAGATTAATGACTGTACCTGCTGGGAGCACGGGATAGAGTTCTCTCAAAGTCAGGCAGTGGCAGCCAGAGGTTTGTGAGAACTGGCTGACTCACCTTTACCCCAAACTGGGAATTTTTCATCAAATGAAGTTTCCCTGAAATGCATTTGACAAAATATTTCTACTTGGCTGAAAATTTCAAACTCAAAAAAGCTTCTATTTAATTTGCAACCACATTTTTATTTAACTCCTGAAAGCTGGCATGAAGTATGGCAGTTTGAATTAATGTTGCTTTTTAAGTGTTATTTAAAGTTATGTTTTTATTTGCATGAAGTCTTTGGAAGTTTTGTGGTTGGTTTTTTTTAAAAGTCAGTTCTAGATAGTATGATTTGAACATAAGAACAGGAGGAAGCTGAGTGAGGGTTACTGTGAATAGCTTATGTGTGTTTGCTGATCCAGCACCTAATGAAGTAATGGGTGCTGGATTAAGTCTTTTATTTTTTTAATTTTTTTTTTCCCCCCAGCACTTTCTAAAGGCACTCTGCTATTTTCAGTACCAGATTAATCATGATTTTGGTGTTGTGCTACATGTCTGAAACTACACTTCACTTACAGAAAAGTTTCCACAGCTCTGCTAGTAAACTGAGAACATGTCCTGGCTTCTCTGGGGGGCCCCCTCTGTACGCAGGAGGTGCAGAAGGCCTTGGGTTGCCTTCTGCCTCTTCTAGGCTACAGTCCCTTTCCCTGCTGATATGAGCACATTCCCTACTGCTGAGCTGAAAGGAGTTTGGGAGTGGATGTGGCACTTTCTTGGTGCTTTTCTTCTTCTCCTGTGGTGCCAGGAGTAAGCTCTGAAAGGTAATGTTAAGCGAACTTGGAAGGAACATTCCGTCAGTGTTGTCAGAACCGGGCCCAGCTGTGCACTGCTCCAGGTGGCTGCCTGGGGAAGAAATAGGGTTTTATCATCAGAAAGCAAAATCCCAAACTGGGTACTTGTGCTGATGGATGAATGTTTTCACATGCCAAATGACAATTTGGTAATAAGAATAAGGTGAATTAAGAAGATTTGTGTACTCCACAAACCTATTTTTGTTTACAATAAATGAATCACTACATAGTGTGTATGTGTTACCAAAAACTATGCTTGAGGCGAATTCACCAGAGACCAGAGATTCTGTCTGTGGGCTGAGTTTCCTGGCTCCTACCTTCAAGCCCTAAGATTTACTAGACAGAAAACAAAAAATCCTTAGTAAATGTGGTCTTCTAGGGAAGCAGGGACAGGTTTGTTTGTTTGTTTGTTTTCATCTAAGTGAGAGATGAAGTAAAAACTTGCTTCCAGGAATCTACATTGGTGGAGATTCAAATTCTGGTCCAAACTTGTGCTTAGAAGCAGTGATTCTGCCTCTCTCTAGTGTTTGTCTGCACTGAAGTCCTGATTAACTTCTCCAGGTTCCAAAAGCTGCCGAAGGAATGACAGTGCTGCTGACAGCTCACCGCAAGCGGTGTCCTTGCCAAACAGGACATCAGCAGCTCTGTTGCTCTGGGAATTTAGAGTACAAAGCAATCTCAAGGGAGCTGCACTTTCTTACTGGACTGCAGCTCTTGCCAGTGCTTTCCTGTGCCAGGAGGCTGCCAGGCTGGAGCTGTTACCAGGACCCTTGCACCACACACAAACTGCTACACCCTGGGTGCTCCTGGCACTGAGCACCTGTAGGGCAGAACATCTGTCACATCTGGGTTGCTCTTGAGGAACACTGATTTCTCTTGGGCTGCTTCCCTGGCATATAACAACACCTGCCTTTGTCTTGGGGGTTTGTACTCCTGGAATATTGGTTGATGTGCAAACTCTTGTGATGGGCTTGGCACTGTTGTTATAAACCAAAGGCAGAAAGATGTCTCCTGCCTCACTATCAAATAGCAAAGTCCTTTATAAAAGAGGAAAAAAAAAACCAATTTAATTCTCCTATTTTTTATCTTTCTCTTTTTTTGGTTTTTTAACCTATGGGCACAATCAAGGAATGCTGAGTCTAGAATGTGTCTATTGTACATAGCCATTAATGAAACATAGAAGCACAATTTATACTTATTATTATTGTTATTACTATTATTATTACACAATTGGAGACAGTGAACCAGCTGCTTGCTTGCTGAGGAAGAGGTACTGTTTCAAACTTGACAATTTTCTTAAAAGCTGCTGTTCATAGAAGTAAAGCTGGGGCAAAGGAAATTACTGGTATGGTAGGGAAAATGTTGTCACAGGTGCAAACGAGTGGCCTTCAGTTCCCTCAGCTCTAGGTGGGCTGTAGAGGGAGGGAATTACTAGACTTTTGCACTATGTTACTGCATTTTGAAGTAGCTAGAAGTTATTTAATGGTTGTGTTCTGTAAAGAACCCCTTAAAACTGAAGATCTGTGCTGCACCAGCACAATGAAACATGTGGAGGTACAGCAGAGAGGTATCTGCCCATGGCGTGCAACTAATATTTGCCAAGTATTGATCTAGTGTGCATCTCATCTTCTAGCTGTAGTCCAAGGTTCAAAGTTTACCTTTTGTTTAAAAACTGATTTTACAGGGAGGTCATGTCCTTTAGCTAATCCAGCAGCAATAGACATCTGTAAAATGGATATTGAGTTTACCATTATTTGGAGGAAAGCCTTGAAGCCCTCACGGAAAGCCGCTGTAGCACAGAGGTGTATCCACTGATATGGCAGTATGCAGAGAGCCTGGACAAGTGACAGAGTGGAGGAAATAATTAGTCTGCTTTGGAATGTTGTGGTGTTGCCAGACCCAGCCTCAAATCAGAAGATAAGCCCTGACCATTTGCTCCTGGCACACCCACAGCCCTTCCCAGGGTACTGGTCACTTGACCCCACCTTCATATTTTCACTGCAAAGAGTTGGCTGAAATTACTCCCAAATAGCTGAAACCCCAAAGCAAGCTGGGAAAGGCAGGTTTACCACAGAATAAATGGCCACAAAAATATAATAACCTAATGTAGCAGAGGGTGTTGGCTTTTACTTCCTGATTTCCTTCATAAAGTTATGTGCATTTGTACATAACAATCCATAAATAGGGGTGAGGAAAATCTCTCTTTATAGGCAGCATTAAGTAATTACACATCAGGAATTTACTAACAATTTTAAAACTGAAGCAAGCACAGAGTAGTTCCTGCCCCACAGTAAGTTTGGTGCATTTCCTTTCTATTGAAGTGACACTGGGCACTCTGACCAGGGCTCTCTCTGTCTCAGGCGTTGGGGACTGCAGCAACCAGGGTTTGGACAGCCTGAAAACAGAGCAGATCCCTCTGCAACACACTGGGGACAACTGGGGACAGGAATGAGCAGAAACCATCATCCTCTGGGGCTGAGACTTCATTTTAACCACACAGATCATGCCACATGTAGGGATGCAGATCCTCTTACCACAAAAGACAGTTCTGATCTCAAGTCCTCCACAGGAAACACAGGAATTTGGATTTTGGGCAGCTTTTACAAACTGCATTTCAGCTTTGCAAAAGCCAGTCCTTGGAGATCCCTGCTTTCCAGAGCACCAGTTCTTACTGATCTCCAGTTCCCTGGAAAACATGCCCCAGCCCCAATCCGGGCCAGAGACAGCCACAGCCTGGCTGAGCACACAGGTATGGAGAGGTCAGAGCCCTCCCCTGGACTGCTGCACTTGGAGTGAGATCCATCTAGAAATGGAGCTCTGGAAACAGGCTCCAAAATGTTCTAGGATCAGACCTTTAAAATGGCTCCAAAGGGCAATAGCTCCAGCACAAGTCCTGGTCCCAGCCCTGGCTCCCTGACACGCACACAAGAAGCCCACAGTCACACAGGTGCCACTTGCAGAATTCCTGATGCAAACCCCCACCTTTCCTGCCCAGCACTGAGGGAAATCTGACAGAGGAATAACAAGGAACCTTTGCTGAGAGCAGTGGTCAGGCCAGGCCTTCAGGCTTGGCAAGATTTTGTAATAAACAGACCCAAATTCAATCCCTAAGTCTAAATCTCTGAGAAGTCTTGTCAGAAAGATACTGGACAGTAAATCAGACCACTGAATTAAAAGACTGCAGAAGGAGTAACAGAAGCTTTTCCACTAATAACAGAAGTTCTTTTCTTCCCTCACCAGTCTGGGACTGTAGGACTGAATATTTGCCACTGAGACAAGCTGTCCTTAACACTTTGACCCCTCAGGCGTTATTATTTCTCAGAGAGCTGGGCCAGCGCTGAGCTACTCCCATGCGTCTGCAGTGCTTTGGGAGGGGCAAGGCCTCTTCCCACTTTGGGCTGGAAAAATTTCAAGATAATTGAAAGTTGTTACCCTTCTCTCTGACCCACAGCACCGCAGGAAACCGTGCTGAAAACGTGGGGTCCGGGTTGGAGTCGGGGTTGGGGTCAGGCAGCCGAATAGATGCCTTTCCACGCCATTTTCTGTCCCTACCACAGCTAATGCCGCCGTCTTTGGAAGGACACGCTGATCTGTGTAGCGAGGCCGCCGTCTTTGGTTATTGCCAGCTCTCCTAGGGGTGGCAGCTGGGGCAGTACTGGGTGACAGCCTCTAGCTGGGCTCGGGGCATGCCCTGGCCCTGCACAGATGCAGGTGAGGTTTGGGAGGATGTGGGAACAGTGAAAATGATGGATGGTGCTGGGAGGAGCAGTCAGCCTGTGCTCATAGTAGTGCCACCGTGCAGGGCGCTGGAATCCGGGTAAAAATCCAGCTCTCCTGGTGCTCAGGGATGCAGGGTCTGAGGGGCTGGAGTTACCTGTGCCTTTCCAGGACAGCAGGAACAAGAGGAAATGTGGTGCCAGAGCTGTGTCCCATCAGATTGTGTTTCCCTCTGAGGACAGAGAGTCCACTCTTCTCTGGAGAAGAGAATGAAAAGTGGGAAAAATGAGGTTATGAGCAGTGAACAAGTAGGGAAAATAGTGGGAGTAAATCTTGAGAAAAGCTCCATGGTATTAAATAAATATTTTGAAGTAAAAATGAGGGAATTGGTGGAAAAGTAGGGGAATTTTGGGGGATAAAACTTGAAAATTTGGATTGTAAACCGGAGAGAATCCCTAGAGTAGATGATCAATATTTTCTTGTAAAAATGAGGAAATCAGAAGTGGACAGACAGGGAAAATTTGGGGGGGGCGGGGAGTGAAATAATCTCCAGAGATTCAGGAATGAACATCCTGAGGTAAACTGAGGTCATCAGTTAGGAACATGGAGTGAACATTTTGGGTGTAGAAATGGATGTTTTCTTCAGGATGGAAAATGAATATTTTGAGGGGAAAACAGGATCACTGGTAGTGCACAGATAGGGAAATTTTGGGGGTAAAGAATTAATCTACATGGAATAAGTAGGGGATGTTTTTGAGGGAAACTGGGGCCAGAGGTGAAGGTCGGTCCAAAGTCAACCCTTAAATCCCAGGATGAACTCTACAATCTGACAGTTGAGGGACTAAAAATTCATAGAAATTGAGCCAAGAGCATTGAGAAGGTTTCTGGGGAATCCCATCCCAGTGTTGTCATTGAATTTTTAACAGATCTTGAAGCTTTTGATGACAACAACACATGTCTCTTTTGGGATTACTGCCATGGACCAAGTGAACCCTCAGGACTTGTTCTGCTCATTTCTGCCTGGAAAAGGATGTTGCACCTTCTGAGCCATTGTGGAAATGCTGGAAAGGGTAGGAATTCAGGGTAGGAGGAGTTCTTTGCTGTTATGTCAGGTGCCAGCCAGTTCTGCCTTAGAGCTGTTCAAGGGGCTGATGTGTAAAATGCATTAGCAGAAAAGAAGGAGCAGCCATTCCCATCCCAGCCCTTTCTCGTGATCCCAAAATTTGCTCAGAATGCCGATGTTCTGAGTTCAATCCCTAAATGGGCCGATCACTTCTCATCATTTGACTTGATGATCCTTGGGGGTCTTTCCAACTCAGAATATCCTGTGTAGAGGTAAATTTTCCCTGGCATTTTAAACCCAGAGGTTTTTCCATTGGAGACAGCGAGTCACGGAGAAAGTGGGGGAGAGGAAGGAGAACATCACGTCTCACCCGGCAGGTGTCGGATGAGCGGCCCGAGCAGGGCCTCGGCCGCAGTCGAGAGCGGCAGGGGGAGAGCGGCTTCTTCCGCCCGTGGCGATCCAGCGCCGCTCGTTCCGCAGCGTTCCCCGGGGATGCGGCCACGGTCACTGCTCTGCCCGGGGGGTGCGGTGCCCTCGGGGGTGCGGTGCCCTCGGGGGTGCGGTGGCCTGAGGG